TCATGCGACTCTGCTGCATCCTTCTTATGGGTCCAGGTCACGCTGTAACTCGATGCCTGATCATAAGTTGCCTCACTAGAATAGTTTGGAGGCGATTTAGATCTTGGTACTGGTGACTTTCTTCTGAAGCTTGATGTTGGCCTGGTAAAGGATGATGCATTATGATCGTTGTTTTGTGAATTGACAAGATTTCCGCTGCGATTTTGTCTGTCCATGGTATCTCCCTGTACCGGGTAAGAATTGTCTCCCTGGCTGCTAAAATTGCTAACTTTCTTCTTGCCTTGCTCTCCCGAGTGTTTCCTTAGTAACTTAAGAAGGGAGTCAACAGTTTCACTTTCTTTCCCCTGCCCTTTAGAAGCTTCTTCTATCTTTTTGTCTTCTTTCTTTGCTGCTGCTCGAGCTCGGAGCTGAGCTTGAACCTTTCTGAAAAGCTCCACAATCTCTTTCTCTCTTGGTCCAGGGGATGAAGTAGCTTGGAATTTGGGGGAGTTGGAGAGAGAGAGTAAAGGACCATTTCTTGAAGACAACATTTCAGAGTTATCGACATCAAAATCGTCTCCCTCTTCGCTTTGCCTGTTTCTTCCCCGGAAACCATGCTTATTAAGTCTTGAGAAATCAGGATTCCTCCTATAGCCACCAGAACTTGCTCGACACACAAAAGAACTACTATTGGGGGAACATTTCAGACGTCGATTCTCTATGCGTAGTTTCTGATCAAGACAGGAAAAGCAAGGTAATATGGCAAGTGTTCTTCTCGAAACAGCAGAGTTAGAGAAGCATCTGCTGTCTGAAAGTGCGTAACCTGTGTTACAAAGCAAATACCACATGGAGTAAGCAGATATCGAAGGCCACCACACCAATGCAGAATTACGACAGACATAGTTCCGACTTCACATTCGGTGCACAAAACCATAAATTTTAGATTCAGAATGCATATAAATTCAATCAAACTTGAGGTTACCTGCATAACACAGAAAAACTGTGCAGAAGAACAAAAATTCTCCAACTTTTGTTGGTTTAAGTTTCGCCAACTAGTTGACATGTAAATACTATTGCTGGGGATTTGAAAAGACCTTAAAACTTTTAAAAGCTTATATATTTCAATACTTAGCATTCCCATAGCACCACTTAGTATATATAATCTTCTAATACAATTCGCTATTCATAGAGCCCTAGAGGCTAATAAAGAAGCATTTCATCGAACAATTGGTGGACAAGAAAACGAAAAGTCATTTCTCCCCTCACAATTGCCCAATTCACGTACCCTAATTTCGTTACAGTGACAAAGGCACAAAAAAGTGGTCGCTAAGAGAAGAAGACCAACAATTTTTCCCCGATAAGAAAAAGAGACAAAACATAGATTTCTTAACAATTATCAACGACATGTGAAGACAAAACATAGATTTCTTAACAATTACCAGGGATGCAGTCAGAGCTCAAACTGAAAGTTCCCAACATCGCCATGAACAGACTTGGGAGAAAGGAAAGATATTAAG